ATACTAGTAACATCAAAATGTGTTACCAAGGTGATTCACATACTAGTAACATCAAAATGTGTTACCAAGGTGATTCACATACTAGTAACATCAAAATGTGTTACCAAGGTGATTCACATACTAGTAACATCAAAATGTGTTACCAAGGTGATTCACATACTAGTAACATCAAAATGTGTTACCAAGGTGATTTACATACTAGTAACAACAACATGTGTTACCAAAGTGATTCACATACAAGTAACAACAACATGTGTTACCAAAGTGATTCACATACAAGTAACAACAACATGTGTTACCAATGTGATCCCCATACAAGGGCAATATTCAGCATTCCGTTAGTTTTCTCCTGATAAAGAATCTCTTTATGAACATGTTAAGGTTTTGAAATGAGCTAGGTAACAATGTGACAATGAGGTAAGCATGTGACCTCAACTTTATGGAGATTTCACTTCGACCTTGTTCTTACATGACCTTGAACTAGGGTTCTGATATGATGATGAACTGAACTGAATGATATATCTAATTAAAAATCAATTGCTTGCTAAAAGAACGAAATATTATCAATGAAGTACAGTACATTTATATGTTTTGTCCATCAAATAAAGCTGTAGGATTGTGTAGTGATCAACCAACAAAGAAGTAAAACTGTCACGTTTCATTGAAAGGACACATCATCCATTATACATTGCACTGATGCCAACAATTTGTCAGGGTTCCTGTGTACTTTATGTTGTATTAACGGCAGGGCTGGTCAGACGTTAATTTGGACTGTTTTGTTACAATCACTCCTCTGTTTTAGGGGCATGCAGGGCAGTCATAGAACAATTCTGTCAGGGAATATGTTCTAGACACACAGGTGCAAAATGTGCATATTTTGTAAATTATACTTTACGTCAAAATTTTTGACATATTTGAATTTTACATGTTAATTCAGTTAAGTAAATAGATTCTTAAATGTCATTTGAGATACTGCAATTACAGGGAAATGATGTATTCTGGCTATTTCATAATGATGTAAGAGTTCCACCAATAAGGATTGGGTTTATTACAGGTATTTAGCATAATTAATAACCGTAGATGTACATACGGTAGAAATGTTAACACTAGATCACAGAAAGTACAAATCTTTCAGCAGAGAAGACATGTCTGCTAAAATCCCAACAAGATAAACTGACAGACTCGGCGTTTAACAACATATCTATTTCTGAATGATGTTGGGTTTTTTTGCTGGATTGTTAACAGAAGATGGTAAAGGGTATCTTGATAGCTATAGACACCACTTTACAATTGGAGAGAGCGACTTGTTAACTTGATTTAAAACCAAAAACAAACAAATTACAATTTGTAATAAATGCTCTTTTGTTCAAAAATTTGAAACAAGTTTCGAAAACTTAGTTAATGAAACAGTGTTATAGAACAGCAATTTTGGAAAGCATCTGTTCTGGAAATCATTTAAAAACATTTGTATGCTAACTATACATGCAGGCATTTTGTTGTTAGGGTATCACAAATCTTATACAACAGGAAAATGTGCTGAAAGTCTGATGCAACAAGGTAAAGAAACCGATTGCTTTACTGTAAGGGCCCACCTTCCATGCACCTCCTCCGCTATATCTGTACAATCTGTGCATAGCCTGATGAACGAGAATTGTACAGACTTTTAATGTTTCCATCCAGGTTTTGTGCTGGCTTTCCTTACAACTCTTGGTCATTCCTAGACTCGCCTACATGTAACAATATAAAGGTTTTTGTTGATGTTTCTATTTGTGTTTCTCACAACTCTTAATTTTACCTTAATTGGCCTGCATCTGTACCAGTTATAACAATTAAACTTAGATCGTCTCTGAATATAACACAAAACTTTAAAGGTTAAGCATCTATTTCTTTATAACTGGTGTCTATATATAGGGGTCTATATCCTATAGGGAGAACAAGAGTCTCTATACAACTCTGTACATCTAGATCAAAACTTTGTGAATCTTTGAGATAAAGAGTACATACAATCAAGTTATAAAGTATATTATTACCATTGATTATGGAATATTAGTTAAGTCTTTTTCTACAGATGTTAGGAATATTAGTATTTGGAAGCAAAAGTGAAAATTGAACAAAAACAAAATTCCATTGTTCCAACTTGAGATCTATCCACTGCCAGTCCTAAATTTTGCAAACGTTTGTTGTTGGGTTTTTTAATTGTAAATGCAAGATATTGAAACAAATATGGATATCTTGCAAAGGGAAGCAACTCTAAACCAGGGGTAGCATTTGGAGGGTCTTATTAAGCTAGGCTGTCATCTGACAGATTTCTAAAGGTGTGCTTTACTTATCTTTGTTCATAGAAATATTTCTCATGGAAATTATAGTTGATTTTTTTTTTTTAACTATACATATATCATCTGCATGTATATGTACCTAAAACTGCTTTTTGATAAAGCACTAAAAATTAGGCAATTAATTAACTCTCAAATTAGGTGTAAATTGTTTCATGATCCTGTAGGGCCAGAATATTAATTAATTAAGAAATCTTTATTTTGTCACATCAACAAGATTTGGCCAATATATCATCAGTAGAATGAGATATGTGAAATGATGAAATAATTAAAAAATTGAAATATGATAATAATGAGATATATAAGTTATTTGATTTTTTTTTTTTTTATTTTCTTTCTTTTCCACCAAAGGTATTATTTGATGAAGGAGGTATTTAGATATTTATTTTCTCTGACTTTCTGCTGTATCATCACTGCTTGGCATTTACTGGCCACCTGGGTTGTAGATGATGTACATCAAATTGAGTGCAATGGTTACAGAAATACATCTGTTTAGGCATGTGTTTTGTTTCTGTGGTAACCACCCTTATACCTTAACTTCTGTTTTCCTTCAAAGTAACTTTTTTTGTACAAAAGTGACTTGGTAAATAGACTTTGTGTACAAAGAATAGATAATGAATAGACTTTGTGTACAAAGAATAGATAATAAATAGACTTTGCATACAAAGAATAGATAATGAATAGACTTTTGTGTTAACTAAGTGAGGAATAAGTTTAGCATGGCACAATATTTGGTCTATGGGAAGGAGAAGGACAGGTAAATTGTAGTGATAACGAGTATGTATGTACTACACTAGTGCTTTAGAAGTCACTCTTCAGCAGAGACAAAACAAGTTATATATATGTGGGCCTGACGACCAGACTTGTTCACTGAATGGATAACCAGCATCAATTAACATGCTACTTTTTTAAACAGATGTTCAACTTGAAATTTGCAGTTGTGTTTAATCACAACTGCAGCAGTTTACTTTCTATTTTGTCATTATACATTTACCTTTCAATAGGAGCCCTAGCTAGCACACTCAAACAAACTGTAGAGAATTATCATGTGAAGTGATATGTCATGTAATATTCATCTTGTAAAACGATACGTTTTTAGAAGCCTCACATAAACAGTTGCTTTTACATGCAGAAATTTGAGCCTCACTTTTGGAGGTATGGTGAATATGATATTTTGGAAGCAGGCTGTATGCAAGGTTTTCTTGATTAATTCATTTGCAAAATGTCTTTTGTTGTGAAATTGTTGTGAAATGATAAACCTTACCAGATATGATCGTGTAGATACAACACCCAAGACCACGCACAGAATTACGATGCTGTAGGGATTGTTAACGACATTATTAGTACAAAATACTCAAGTCAGTTTAAAGTGAAACATTCTTAATTTAACAAGACGTTCCTCACATGGTAACCATAAAAATGTATACCTCTCATTGTTTTAACTATATATATTAACAAGATTTACCTCATGGTTTTAACCATATATATTAACAAGATTTACCTCATGGTTTTAACCATATATATTAACAAGATTTACCTCATGGTTTTAACCATATATATTAACAAGATTTACCTCATGGTTTTAACCATATATATTAACAAGATTTACCTCATGGTTTTAACCATATATATTAACAAGATTTACCTCATGGTTTTAACCATATATATTAACAAGATTTACCTCATGGTTTTAACCATATATATTAACAAGATTTACCTCATGGTTTTAACCATTTATATTAACAAGATTTACCTCATGGTTTTAACCATATATATTAACAAGATTTACCTCATGGTTTTAACCATATATATTAACAAGATTTACCTCATGGTTTTAACCATTTATATTAACAAGATTTACCTCATGGTTTTAACCATATATATTAACAAGATTTACCTCATGGTTTTAACCATTGAATAAACTACCTGCCACTGATCTGATAGTTATAACCATGTAACCTAAGACTTTCCTCTTGTTGTTTACATTGAAACCTGCCTCTCATGGTTTTACCCACGAAATAACAAGACCTGCCTTTTATGGTTTAAACCATGAAATAAAAAATATCCGCCTGTGATAATTATAACCATGTAATAAGACTTTTAAGTTTAAATTTTGTCTCATGATTTACATTGAAACCTGCCTCTCATGGTTTTAACCATGTATTAGTATTGTAATAAGGCTCACATGTTTTAACCATGGTATAGCAAGACTCAGCTTTTCCAGTTTTTAACCTTGAAATAAAAGACCTACCTAACATGGTTTTAACCATGTAATAACAAGACCTGCTTCTCATGGTTAAAAGGCTTTCCTTTCATGGTTTAACCATGTTATTTAATAGACTTCCCATAGTCCATATGATACACTTAAGAACCATTAAAATTAATACATCATATAAACCTTGAAAGTGTATGTTTAGAAGGGTCATGGAAAGTGTTGAATGGAGTACATAGTGTTGCAGGTGAAATTGCAAGTATCTGGTATATAGCTCCCAGGAGAACTGCTGATAGCGCTCATTCCATACCATCATTATATAGGTATACATGTCTTGTACTGGTAGCTGTAACCTCTGACCATGTCATACTCCGATCATATATCATTACAAGGATAATGCAACAAGTGATAACCAGGAGTAAAATGTGGGCCGTGGAATAGTCACACCAGCTATACAGTGTAGTGTGTGAGTGCGGAATAGCAGATGTAGGGTAGTCACACCAGCTATACAGTGTAGTGTGTGAGGGCGGAATAGCAGATGTAGGGTGTCACACAAGCTATACAGTAAAGTGTGTGAGGGCGGAATAGCAGATGTAGGGTAGTCACACCAGCTATACAGTGTAGTGTGTGAGCGTCTCTGTACAGCACCAGGTGTGTTACTCAGGAAAATCTCTGATCATACATAACAGGATTAATCGACATTTGGACATGAGTGAAAGGATCTTTACTGGAGGTAAGCCTGACTTACATGTGGTGGCAGTGTAGCTATAGCCCTTGGATGGTATTGTAAACAGTCAGTGTATTAATTTTGTTCTGGGTTATCCCAAAACAAGGAAATTTCAACATTGTTCCAATATTTTTCATCATTACCAGGTATTCCAGGTATTGAGGTATTGGTCACAACAAAGGAAATGGCCGGTTAATATTAAGAGACACGGAGGAGAAGGAATGGTTTCAGTGAATTCTGTCACTCTAATTAAATTACATTTTTTATATTGATTGAAAAGTTGTGCCTTTGATGCTCTTCACAGCCTGATAAGGCCCGTCACAGGAATGTACTATATATAGTGGCCGCTAATGTGTGCAATACACATGTACACAGGACCACAACGTGTGTAACACACATGTACACAGGACCACAGCTTGTACTGTGTACTATAGCGGAAGTGTTAACCATTGTGTGTCTATATCAGGACGCCTGTTTACACCTCAATAACAGCAGATTACAAACATCAGCACACAACTGGTGACACTAGGTGAGTAGAGACCAGGCAGGGATTTCCACCTTACAACCTCCTTCCTCAGGACCTCCTTGTGGTCACTCGTTGTCAAACCTTTGTAAAGTCAGGAATGTTTTTTTTGTGGTGTAGTACATGTGCACCCCCTTTAACAACATGGTGATCTGACTTTATATGTGTGTGGTAATATTACTGATGTGCTGGAATTCAAACTCAGTGTGATATGAGGACCCATGCACACATCAAACCGGAGCATATTACGGTCGGGGAGTATTTTACACGGTGGAGTAGTTGTTTACAAGGTAAGATTTAGCTGAACTGATTCAGACTTGTTTGAGCACATGGTGTCTGTAATGTGTGTATACTGTGATCATTGATCAGCTATAGTGATACTCAGTACAGGTATACAAACACTTTCAAACCCATGTCCAGTATTCTCTTACAGATAAGAAAACTTTGATTTAAGAGGCTTTCAACAGGTTGGTAGCAACCATTCTCAGCTCTCCCACCATACCCAATTTTGGAATTTTCAGTGATATTAAAATGAAAGTGATAGCCAACTTTCAAATTGCAAAAGTTACTGCCAAGCAATGTCTAATTGCAGAGTTCCAAAACATTTCAGAAATGAAAAAAGGGGAGAGAAACTTTTCTTTTAAATGTTGTGCCAAAATATTGTCCTTTTCTTTAAAATTTCAAATCTAAAATGTAGTCATTGTATTAATCGGTTAATCATCCATCTGTAATATTTAGACAATGAAAGAATATGTTGGTATTTTTACTTAATCAACTCAAAAAAACATTATTTTTTTAAAAATAAAAATAAAATATGTCTTATAAATGGTACAAGTTTTTCTCAGAAATACCTGGTATGAAATTATTTCAGATAGCTTTAAAGACATTCCTGAAGGACATCCTTAAGTTGAATCACATAGTGACATACTTTCCATCTTAAGTCAATGAAATGTATCAGACACGTCCTGTCAAGCTAACAAGTGGAGCCTTAGTACCATATACCAAGGGAGAAAATATCAACATCTAATCTGAAGGTGTAACCTTTGTCTAACCCTATGCTTAAATCACGCTGGCCCCCTGATGCACTTATCTGTAAAGTGCTGATTATGCATCCACAGGGAATCACACCTCATAAGAAATCACTGATCCCCAACCCTCAGACCCTTCAGAAAAACACTAATACCCACCCTCAAACCTTCAAGAAAACACTACATGATCCCAACCCTCAGACCCTTCAGGAAAACACTGACTACCATCCCTTGGAAACTTAAGGAAAATACTGATCCCTACCCCAAAGACCCTTCAGGAAAACACTGATCCCCACCCCTCAGACCCTTCAGGAAAACACTGATCCCCACCCCTCTGACCCTTCAAGAAAACACTGATCCCCACCCCTCTGACCCTTCAGGAAAACATGTGACCCCATCCCTCAGACCCTTCAAGAAATCATGTATCCCCACCCCTCTGACCCTTCAGGAAAATACTGATCCCTATCCCTCAGACTCTTCAGAAAAACACTGATCCCCATCCTTCTGACCCTTCAGAAAAACACTGATCCCCATCCTTCTGACCCTTCAGAAAAACACTGATCCCCACCCCTCTGACTCTTCAGGAAAACATGTATCCCCATCCCTCAGACCCTTTAGGAAAACAACATGGTGATCTGACTTTATAAGTGTGTGGTAATATTACTGATGTGCTGGAATTCAAACTCATTGTGACATAAGGAACCAAACATCAAACCGGAGCATATAATATATTACGGTTGGGATTTTACACGGGGGAGTAGTTGTTTACATGTATCCCCACCCTCAGACCTTCAGGAAAACAAAGAATTGCCACCCCAAAGAAAAACTCTGATCCCCAGACCCTCATGACAACACTTATCCCAACCATCAGACCTTAAGAAAAACACTGCATCCCCATCCTCAGGAAAACATCCCTCATTTGGATAACAACGATCCTCGATCACCTATACTCTCAGGACCACCCCACCAATGGGTAAAGTTCACAATTCCATATGCATTTGTTGATAAAGTATTGATAAGATCTTTTTGTGATTAAAAATACACATGTATTTTGTTGTCTATTATCGGTTAATAGTCAGACATATTTTTGGCTTCATTTTTAGGAAAGTAAAAAATTCAGTTTCTTCAGCAGAGCCAGCCATGTGCTTTTTTTTACCCACACCACAAATCAACGCATGTCTTGCTTACAAAAGAATTTCTTACATTAGTTTTACTCCCATTTTAGTATGCAAATAAGGTTGATTGCTCACATGATTAAGTTTAACTGCTCACCTGTGGGCACTAAAGTTGTTTGTGAGCAAAATGTCCATATTTGGAAGTTAGATATTTTTGCTTTTGAAGTGATAAACAAAATAAATAATTAATTGTATTAACATTTTCATAGGTTCAGTATAAAATTAGCATGTTAATTTTTCCCACATACAACTTTAGTTAGGAGAAATTTGCTTTGGACATGTGTACTTATGTTTATACCAACATGTTATGACAGAGTTTGTTACCTCGTGTGATAGGTGTATGGTAGAATTAGATTTGTACGTGTTGGCCTCTAGATGGAATGTTGACATCCTATGAATCTACAAATTAAAAAATAAGAATTTATAAACATTGATACTTTTTGTCTATCAAATCAACCTCATTTGACATTCTAATTTAAATTCATTCAATATGAAATGTGATTTATGTTTTCAAATCAACAGGCATCAGAAATGTTACTATGTGACTCAATTTCTTTCATAATTTGGGTTGTTACAAATATTTTTAGTTCAAAATTATTTAAAATGTATTTATTACACATGTCTGATCATCGTAAGCCCTAAAAGCCTCATTGCTCCAAAATAAGCTTGGATTCCACACTCTTCAGGTAAACATATCCCACACCTCAATTTTCTCATTAGTCACTTCCTTATACTCTAGCAAAAACTAGCAAACACTTGGGATAAACATGAATCCCCACACCTGAAATAAACATGAATCCCCACACCTGAAATAAACATGAATCCCCACACCTGAAATAAACATGAATCCCCACACCTGAAATAAACATGAATCCCCACACCTGAAATAAACATGAATCCCCACACCTGAAATAAACATGAATCCCCACACCTGAAATAAACATGAATCCCCACACCTGAAATAAACATGAATCCCCACACCTGAAATAAACATGAATCCCCACACCTGAAATAAACATGAATCCCCACACCTGAAATAAACATGAATCCCCACACCAGAAATAAACATGAATCCCCACACCAGAAATAAACATGAATCCCCACACCAGAAATAAACATGAATCCCCACACCAGAAATAAACATGAATCCCCACACCAGAAATAAACATGAATCCCCACACCAGAAATAAACATGAATCCCCACACCAGAAATAAACATGAATCCCCACACCAGAAATAAACATGAATCCCCACACCAGAAATAAACATGAATCCCCACACCAGAAATAAACATGAATCCCCACACCAGAAATAAACATGAATCCCCACACCAGAAATAAACATGAATCCCCACACCAGAAATAAACATGAATCCCCACACCAGAAATAAACATGAATCCCCACACCAGAAATAAACATGAATCCCCACACCAGAAATAAACATGAATCCCCACACCAGAAATAAACATGAATCCCCACACCAGAAATAAACATGAATCCCCACACCAGAAATAAACATGAATCCCCACACCAGAAATAAACATGAATCCCCACACTAGAAATAAACATGAATCCCCACACCAGAAATAAACATGAATCCCCGCACCAGAAATAAACATGAATCCCCACACCAGAAATAAACACGAATTCCCACACCTGAGATAAGACTCCACACCCGAGATCAACATGAATCCCAACACCTGAGATAAGCTTGAATTCTGACACCTTCATACCAACACTGTTCTGACACCCTGTAGATAAACATGTAACCCCAAACCCCCTGGAAAACATTAATTCCGCACACTCTAAGGAATCATGTATTCCTCGGGGGATATTTAGGTTGCTGTAATTACTTGATCTAATAAAGGAGAATTTAATTAACGAATTGTGCTGCTGGTTTAGTTCCTTTATTCTGGGTTATCATAAGGGGGTAAATGTGCCAGACATTCAAGTTATTTAATATTGGTGGAATATGGCTAAATTCTCACCTTTATTACTTCAGGACACAGCCCAACTTCCTGTGTTCATGGGTTATATGTGATGTATCAGAGGCTGTGTGTAATGTGAGGGAGGCTGTATCAGAGCCTGAGTGTAATGTGTGGGATGCTGTATATGAGATGTATCAGATGCTGTGTGACTATAATGTGTGGGGTGTATATGAGATGTATCAGTGACAGTGTGACTGTTATGTGAGGGAGGCTATATGTGATGTATAAGTGACTGTGTGACTGTTTTGTGAGGGAGGCTGTATATGTGATGTATCAGTGACTGTGTGACTATAATGTGTGGGAGGCTATATGTGATGTATCAGTGACTGTGTGACTGTTATGTGAGGGAGGCTATATGGGATGTATCAGAGGCTGTGTGACTGTAATGTATGGGAGGCTGTATATGTGATGTAACAGAGGCTTAGTGACTGTAATGTGTGGGGGGCTGTATATGTGATGTATCAGTGTCTGTGTGACTGTAATGTGAGGGAGGCTGTATCAGAGACTGAGTGTAATGTGTGGGATGCTGTATATGTGATGTATCAGTGTCTGTGTGACTGTAATGTGAGGGAGTCTGTATCAGAGCCTGAGTGTAATGTGTGGGAGGCTGTATATGTTATGTATCAGTGACTGTGTGACTGTAATGTGAGGGAGTCTGTATCAGAGCCTGAGTGTAATGTGTGGGAGGCTGTATATGTAATGTATCAGATGCTGTGTGACTGTAATGTGTGCGAGGTTGTATATGTGATGTATCAGAGGCTTTGTGACCGTAATGTGTGGGAGGCTGTTTATGTGATGTATCAGATGCTGTGGGA